TATGCCAAACACAGTAACAACAAGTCTCAAAAAATGGAGACGTTACTGGGCCCGCTTGAGCAAATCGATGAACAATGAGAGGACAGTGACAGTGACACAATAATTTTAGTTATTATATAGTGGATTTTTATAATGCACTGTGATTTTTTTTGGCTATTGGGGTTAGGAAGCTAGTGTATTAGAGTATATCAAAGCATAGACCTAAAACTCTTTCATTTCCCGCCCCCCGCCCCCAAGGATAAAAGTTGCATCTTGACAAAGATCTTGGGATTCCATGCAGATTAAGAATGGAGTTAGAGACAAATTACTTGTGTATTTTGGAGGCAGATCTCAAAGTTCAAAATTTACACGTTTTTATTTCTCATACGACTTTATAAAAATAAGTTGTTAATGTCTTTATAAAACAGCAAAAATTGGGGTGGGTCCTTAATCGTCGACCAGGCATTAGGACTAGCTGCTGCCCTTGAATGGAGAATCTTCCCTTTAGCTGCAAGGATGTGCAGATCTTTGCTGCCCACGCATAATCAGTGTCGTATTTTGTAACGTTAGATAGTGCCTCATCAGCATTGAAGATTATTTAAAAATAGTTTTAGAAGAGCAAGGGTCAGGAGTGAGGACTCTGTGGGAGAAGAGAGCAAAGCAAGTAAGATTTCTCCCGCTCTTCCCGTGCATGTGTGGTTATGATGCTATTAACATGGGGGTTTGTTTCTAACGGACATATAGAACTCCTGGTACCTAAGGCTAATAATGCTTCTTTCTTTCACCTCACCTGATTGGAGGAGTCCTTCTTCCTAAACCCTTTTTGGTTGGTCCTAAATCCTTGGTAAGCAGGCAGGCTTTGCATCTGTTCACCTCAACAAATAATAGCAGGGGCTGGAGCGATAGCACAGCGGGTAGGGCGTTTGCCTTGCACGCGGCCGATCTGGGTTCGATTCCCAGCATCCCATATGGTCCCCTGAGCACCGCCAGGGGTAATTCCTGAGCGCAGAGCCAGGAGTAACCCCTGGGCATCGCCGGGTGTGACCCCGCTCCCCCCCAAAAAACCCCAAATAATAGCAGTATGGAAGGTACTCGAGTAAGCATTTGGGAGTGCAGTGGAGTTTTGGGTCACACCCAGAGGTGCCCAGGGATTACTCCTGGCTCTATGCTCAGAGATCACTCTTGGGAGTTCTCAGGGAACTCTGGGGCCAGGGATTGAACCAGGGTAAGTTGCATTCAAGGCAAGAGCCTTAACTCCTGTAATACTTCTCTGGTCCTACTTGACTAAGCATTTTTTGACCATTCCTTCTTCTTCTTCTTTTTTTTTTTATGGGTAGGGAGGAGTTTCACGGTGGCATCCTCAGTGGTGCTCAGGTCTTAATCCTGGCTCTGTGCTCAGGATCACTCTTGGTAGGTTCGGAGATTAAACCCAGGTTGGTTGCATGCAAGGCCTTACCTGCTGTATATGTTTCTGCCCTGAACATACATTTTTGTGTGGATAACAACTGAAGTCTTATTTTTCACTTTTCTGGAGTTTAATGTATGAAAATTCGACCTAGCAGGAAGTCAAAGCGTTGTTGGATTGTAAACCTGACTTAAGAGACAGCGTCTTCCTGGCACCACTGCCTTTCCCAAAAAGCATTAATCGGATCTAACAGTACTCTTCTCTTTCTTTTCCTTCTTAAGGGAGTTTGCAAATGTTGCTGATTAACTAGACGTTCAGGACACTTCACTTGATTGTAGTGGGAAGTTTTGCAAGTGCTAACGTGTAAGGGACCTCATGCACATTTACGCTCTCCTGAGTCTGGGGAATAACATGGGAAGGCACAGAACACAAAGAAGGTGCTTGGAGGAAGTTTGCTCATTTGGAAGGAGCAGGGGAGTGAATGAAGAGCTCTAGAGGTAGCCTGAGAAACTGCATTGACAGTGGGAAGATGTTGGTTGAGTCACTGTTAGTGTCAGTTTCAAAGGTTCTTTCTGTCCATGTGAGTTTCAGGGAAGTCTTGGCTAGCGGAGAAGCAGTTTATTCCCTAAAGATCTAGAGGTGACAAGGACAGCAGGGGAGGGTCTTGGGAACTTTGATGGTAGAGGGGTAAATTTGTACATCAATACCATAAATGTTATCATTTTTTGTAGCCATAGTACTTAAAGTATATCTAATATTATTAGAAAACTATAGGGGGGATAGAAAGATAGTACAAAGGATAAGGCACTTGCCTCGCACATGGCCAACTCTGGTTTGGTCCCCAGCACCACATATAGTCCATTAAGGAATAACCACTGAGCATGGAGCCAAAAGGAAGTTCTGAACACCTTGCTGGAGGTAACACATTCCTTCTTCCCCACAAAAAGATTTATTGCAATGTGAAATCTGAAGGAAGAAAAAACCTAGGAAAGGTCTTTTCTTATTCATTGTTCAAAGGCGATTGCTTTAAAGTTCCTTGGCAACTTTTTTCATTCATTCATTCATTCATTCATTCATCATCCTGTTATTCGTCGATTGCCTCGAGCAGGCCCCAGTAACGTCTACTTCATCCTAGCCCTGAGATAATATTCAAGGCTCTTTAGGAGAATGAGACCCATCATTGTTACTGGTATTTGGCATATTTGGTGCGCCACGGGGAGTTTGCCAGACTCTGCCCTGTGGGAAGGCTATATTCGATAGCCTGCAAGTTTGTCCAGAGTAGGAATGAGATAATAAGATATCATAAAAAAATGTCTTAATAAGATGTCGTGCAGCCACGAATGCGGCCGCGCGGTTCCGGGAGCTGGATTTTATAGTCTCTGAGTCTTGGCCTTTGATGGGATTACACGGCGCCAGGGGGCCAGGTGGTGGGTGTGACCCCCGCCTACTGGAATTTGGAGGATCTGGGTGGAGGATGCTCGACTCCAATTCGAGTAGGCTTGGAGATCTCGGCCCCAGAACCCGCGTGGCTTTGTCCCTCTGCCAACTTTTTAGCCCTGGGTATTAATAAAGATCATACTGGATTTGGGAGCAACTGGAACTTAAGGGCTGGAAGTCACTGAGATAGAATATTGCTAATAGTATTAATTTGGGAACAAAATAAGTGAAATTTTCTGCCTTTATTCTCAGGCTCTTGATCACTTGAAATTAGGAAGTTTCTCTTTTGCTGTCTTTTTCCAACTGGAGAACCGTAGCAGAAAGTGAGTTTGTCACCGGTGATCTTTGTCATATCCTGAGCCAATTCATAATGACTTTGTTAGGGAAAACTGGACCAGTAAGTCAACCTATATATTTTTGAAATTGAAGTTACATTGCATCCATCGTGACATAATGTGTTTCAGGAATGCATCTGTGGAAATCAGCATGTGCATGGTGTGTGTGTGTATGTGTGTGTGTGTGTGTGTGTGTGTGTGTGTGTTAAGTGAACTAGTTTGGAACTGTGGTCTTTTTATTCTGTTAGAATAGATGTAGTTTTACAAACTAGAGCTCTTTATATTCACAGGTCTAAAAATAGAGTCCAAATGACTCAGGACAGACAAATATTGTTTAGTAATTTCTTTAAAGTACAGGAACCACACCATTAAACCTCTTGGCTACACATTTCATAGTTAGAAAGCATGCCATATGTTCCTTCCAACAAGCTCACTAAGTCAATTCTTGAGGTTCAACAGACCTTAGAGTCCATAGAGAGAGGCATTTAATAAGTGTAATGGGACTTACTTTTCAGCAGACATTTGACTGTAGTAAGCTCCTGAGTATCAGGTTGACGAACTTTGGGATACTAAATAAGAAGTGAAAATTGGGAAATGATGGTTAAGATATTCCAAGTTTCTAAAATTATCTGATTATTTAAATTCTGAAAAATTTACCTTGTCAAATAGTTTATGGTCTTAATAGACCCAATTAAGCCACCTTTTACTTCTAGTGGGTGGAGAGAGTATGATTTCCTTGTCTCCCTTTTGAGGTGGGAATGAGTACAGTGAAAGAGCAATTTAATTTTATACTTTGACTTTGTATTTTCAAATAGAGAGCATTTCCTTTGACTTGAAGTGAATTTGTATCATAAGTATAAAGCATTGTTAATAGACTATAAAAATGTTCTTTTGCATGACAGCACGCATGAGTGGGCATATACATATATACATTTGTACATGAGATTGTTAATGGACTGTTTTAAAACCTTACATCAACTGTTTTTTAAACAAGCTTCTTTGGGGCATCGCTTAAAATGTTTGCATTTTGGTAGCTGATCAAAGTCTGGAAGGTTTTGTGTAAATCAATAGAGCTGGCATGACCAGTGCAGGATCTGAGGCCAAAGGAGGTTTTGTTTGAAGAATGGCACTGTTGCGGGGCTTGCCAGCCAGACTGTGAAGAATGCGCTTCTGTTTTTGCCTCCCTACTGTACCTTCTTTTATCCTCTGCCTGTCCTCTAAGGACATGTGGAATTCTTCCCAGCCCCATTCTGCGTAACCTTGCTTCTGATCTTTCTATTCAGTCCTTTAAGACTCTCACACACATAAACATCTTTCGCTGACAACATGCCCATGTAAACTGATTCCAGGACCCTGCCTCGTTTGCATGCAGTTTGCTTGGCTCATGTATCCTGAAGGGGGCTGCCTTGGATTGGTCACATAAGGCCCTTGAAGTCATGCCAAGCAAAAACATTGGCTGTGTGTCAAAACCTAAAAAGCTGAGTTGGCTACCTGTGCAGTAAAATGTAGACATGTCAAGCTGCTACTTTATTTTCACTCACTGTATTCTGTAATTCCCAGAGTGGAGAATTGCTAATCTTTATCTTTTGCTTGGTTTGAAATGAGACTTCTGGGATGCATTTTTGATAACAGTTGTTCTGATTTATGTATGGAGTAAGGAATGGAAATATACCTTATTACCAAACCATAGTAAAGAGACAGCTTTCAGTTTTTATAACTAGCGAAAAACCTGATGACATGAAACATATTTTCTGAAAATAATGTTTAATATTTGCAGATAATTTCTACTTTTTTTAAAAAAAGAGTTCAGCTTTGTAATTGAACATGTTACAAAAGGTCTAGTAAACGACATGGAATACTTCACGAATTTGTGTGTCATTATTGTGCAAAGGTCATGCTAATCTCTGTATCGTTTCAATTTTAGTATACGTGCTGCTGAGGCAAGCACAATATCTACTTATTTTTAATTAAGTTTTTAGTATTGTGGATCAAAGTCAGGACCTTGCATATGTAAGACAGGTATTTTTTCACTAAAGTGATAAAAATTAAACATTTCTACTTATTAAGAAAACATTTTCTTGCTTATATTTGATACATTAAAGATGGTTTATAATTAACTGTGAGTTCTTTTGTGGGTGTTTCTGTTTTGTGTGTGTGAATGTGTGTTTGTGTTTGTGTGTGTGTGTGTGTGTGTGTGTGTGTGTGTGTGCGCACGCACTCTTTGGTAATCATTAAGAAAACTGTTAATTTGGATGTGGACTGCAAGCTGTCTGGCGACAAAACATTTGGTCATACTTCCCATAAAAAAACCATTGCTTTCTTTCCAGACACAAATACTAAGAACACTTGGAGGGGTGAAAGGAATCCTTCCAGACAGAGCAGGGAACCTTTTTCATGATAAATGCACCCCAAATTTAATAAGTTAAATATGAAAAAATGCATCTTAAGATTCATAAAATATTTATTTGGTTTTGGTCCTGAAAGAAACTTTTGGATGCCTCTTAATGAGGGGTTCCTGTCATTCAGTATTTGAATGTTGTGTACAGAGAAGAAGTAATATTTTCCAGAAGAAGCTTATTTTTCTAGTTTATCACATATTTGGTATCCTAGATGGTCTGATCGGCCTAGTGAGAACCATATAGACAGTGCATTTCATCAAGAAAAAAAATGGGAGTGATGTTATGTAAAGGTAAAGGTAAAGGCCCTCCCGTTGATCGTCGATTTGCTCGAGCGGGCCCAGTAACGTCTCCATTGGAGACTTTGTTGTTACTGTGTTTGGCATATCCAATACGTCACAGGGAGCTGCCAGGCTCTGCCCTGCGGGCGAGATACTCTCGGTAGCTTGCCGGGCTCTCCAAGAGGGGCGGAGGAATCGAACTCGGGTTGACCATGTTGGCCGCTTGTAAGGCGAACGCCCTACCCGCTGTGCTATCGCTCCAGCCCCCTTTGTGCTGAGACAAAAATTAAATTAGATGAGCCTAATTCATCAGAAGAGTAGTAGGAACTCAATAGATATTTTTGTCTATGCACTCCAATATCAATATGAGGATTTTTCACATTATACTATTTATTACTTATATCCATTATTCGCGGCTGCGGGACATCTTATCAGAACATCTTTTTATGACATCTTATTATCTCATTCCTACTTTGGCCAAACTTGCAGGCTATCGAATGTAGCCTGCCCACAGGGCAGAGTCTGGCAAACTCCCCGTGGCGTACCCAATATGCCAAATACCAGTAACAATGATGGGTCTCATTCTCCTAAAGAGCCTTGAATATAATCTCAGGGCTAGGATGAAAGAGACGTTACTGGGGCCTGCTCGAGGCAATCGACGAATAACAGGATGATGAAATGAAAATGAAAAATCCATCACCTATCTTTTCCTTTTTCTTAAAATATCCCATATTTTATTTTACCTCTAGAATATTGGTGGGAGCAGAAAATATTAAGGTACATACATATTAGAATGAAATTATGGAAGACAGGAAAGCCATGAAAAATTTCACTTTCTAATTTGTAAAGATTAATTTTCTTTTCCTCAAGTTTCCAGTAACCCCTGTCCCTAGACCAGAAACATTGGGCTGTGTTTGACTTTTTCCTTTCCTTGTGCTAAATATTGTTTGTGCGTCAGGCAAAACAATTCACTTTCTTCTTCAGTCCTATTTTATCCTTACCTTCCAGGAGCCTGAACACATGAATTGCTACAACAGTATTCTAATTTAAGTCTTGATCTTTGAGTTCTTTCTCTTTTTCTCTCTAACCTTTCCATATGAGATCTAAGATTAATATTTCCAAAACACCAGACTCAAATTTATGCCCTTGTCCTTATTGAGACTGTGTCTTCTCATACATAACAAGTTCAATTCATCAGTCTGGTAGTTGGATTCTTTTGCTGTATATCACCCAATGGACTTATTTTACTCTCTTTAATCACATCCCACAAGAGTTCCACTTCGCCAAAATGGCATCTATACCCATTTCCCCCCAGAGAAGCTGCTTCTTTTTTCTCTCTCTCTCTCTAGTTTTTGTTGTTTTAGGGCCACACTCTTACGTGCTCAAGTCTTTGTGGTTATATACTCAGGAGTGACCCATGGCAGTGCTGAAGGGTCAAAATCTGGTCCCAGAGATCTAAGTGTACACACAAGGGAAGTACATTGTCTCCTGAACTGTATCTCTACTTACCATCCCTTATCCCCAACTTACTACATCCAAACCAGTCACTCTGCCTCTTCACGTTGATGATATTTCCCTTTTGTCAGAATTCTTCCCTTTCTCTCTACCCCTGCCCCCCCTTTTTTACATCCTTATCATTATGCTCAAATTCACAAACACTTCTATAGTAATTGCATCTCATGTTGATCTTTTCCTGTTTGAGAACATCTTGAATTATGTTATAATTGCCTTAAATATGTTAGTTTTCCTTTTGTTTAATTGTAAGTCTCTTTAGCCCAAGTGCCAGAAGTTATTTATATTTTACCTTTCAACATACAACTGGAAGTTAATCATAGAAGTTAAAAGTAGTTTTATCATAACAAATGAATGAGAAGAACAGCAAGATGACTGAGAAAAAACTATCCAACGAGAATAGTGACTCTTAAGGAATATAGTATGACCTGCTGTACACAATGGAGTGGGTGGGGAGGGGGAGAACTTGGATCAGAAATAAACCATTTCAGGTAAATTTGTGGATTACTTTGTGAATTTTTGCTGAAACTACTTAAATTTCATTTCTAAAATGAACGACTGTCTGGGAGCTAGAGCAGTAGGACTGTGTGTAGGGCATTTGCTCTACGTGTGGCTGACCTGGGTTCATCTCTGGTATTCCATATGGTCCTCCAAGCACCACCAGAAGAGATGCCTGAGGTCAGAGCCAAGAGTAAATCCTGAATACTTAACAAACAAACAAACAGAAAAAATGAATGAAAGAAGGAATAAAGGTATTGTTCATAAATACTATACAATTAAAATGTTCAATGCCTTATCATGTAATTCATGTAAGTGCTGTTATATCCCATTTTGGTTTTGTTTGATTGTTTGTTTTTGGGTCAAGCCGGCAGTTTTCAGGGATTACCCTTAACTCTGTACTCAGGGATCACTTCTGGTAGTGCTTGGGGGACCACATGGGGTGCTGTGAATTAAACCTGCAAGGCAACAAACTGTACTTTTTCTCTGGCCTCTTGTTATTTTTAAAAATAAAAGTAGAAACAGTCTATTTGGGATTATTCTGAAGCTTTATTTAAGCAACAGGAATTCTCAAAATATTTTAATATTAATGAATGCCACTCATCTTACCAAAAGATTCACACCATGTCACAGTGAATACACAATTTTCACAGGGCACAATTAAATTTAGGAAACGCAGGTACAGAGGGCAAATTTTCAATTGTTTGAATAATGTTAGTCTTTTTCTTTTTTTGTAATATTATCAAAGTAAATTTAACTTGTCCTAATTTAGGATATGGTCCCTTCAGATCTCCTAGATGGAATTGAGATACTTAATGAAAGTCTATTTGCTCAAAGATAAATTCACAATAAATGCACCTGAAATGCACCTGCTGAACTATTTCTACATTGTGCTATCTTGCTGGCAATTTCACTTTGTCAAGCTTAAAATATTGCCGGTTTTACTGCTTCAATTCCTTCCTTAGATCAGTTGGATTTGCAAACCAGGAACTGGTAAATGGATGTTAGATAAAGCTCACAAATGAGGCATAAATGCCTTTTTGGCACAATTACTTGGCATGAATGGACATCAAAGTTTATTTGCTCATTTTCCCCTAAATTGGAGGCATTTAACCTACTTAAAGTTCTAGATCTTCAGAATGAATGTTCCTGTGAGTTCATTATAAAATTGTACTGTAATAACCTTCTGGAAAGTTTAATATTTTCTAATTCAGTACTTTAGTGTATTTTTAAAAGAAGTTCCGTATCTAATCATTGTTCCAGGTATCTGGCAGCATTGAGAGGTCTTTCATTGTCAACATCCCACTTCTTGCCCCTATCTAAGAGTCAGGCACTGGACTAAAACAATTATTTATATCATTAGATTCTTGCAGCAATTATTTCGGACAGTTTCTCATAGGAGTTTGTGAGATATTGAACAACTATTGAGTTTGGTTCTTTTGGGTTTTAAAGCATATACACTAACAACTATATTCCAAGATTTTTAGCTCAGACACAGACACACATATATAGGCATATGTGTACAAAATAATATATGCACTCCTTTTTCTTTGGGTATTTTGTCCAAGTTATTGACATCTTAAAATGCTTAGACAGGTTTCCTAAGCAGAGGTATCAAATATGGACAAGGTCTCAATTTGCAAGATTCTGATATGAACATTTTCTTTATTGTGATTGACCTAAACCAAGCCATACTGAATCATACAGTTCAAATTTCTTCAGATAATTGGCATATTAACTATCATTGCAGAAAATTTACATTTTAGCATCAACTCTTCAGACCACAGATCACTGTATAAAAACAGAAGCATATCAGTATTGGTGATCTTTCAAACTCAGTGATTGGTCACTGAATATTTGTTATTCAGCTCATGCATAGATATTAAATTGTGTTGCTGTATTATCTCCTTGACTTTTTTCCCTGATAAAATATTTCTTGCATATGCTCTATCTGTGTATCAGGTGTCATTCTTGGTGTCAGAGAGCAGGTTAGGCAAGAGACGCCTCAAGTGGGCAGACGGTAGTGGATTTGGAAATGGACACAGTCACGTGCCATTTTACAGATGTGGATATGCAAGAGACAGAATTGCCTGACAAAGGTGAAATGGAAACAAATGAAAAGTGATGAAGCTGGAAATGAAAATAAAATCAAACTTGCATAGAAATATAGAAGAAAACTGTATTCAAGAGACTCTGGAATTGCAGGTAGAGAAATTTAGTGATGGCAGACTCATGAATGGTTGTGGTGAGTTGTTGGGAAG